AACAACGAGAGTAATACATATTTACAGTGTATAAAGATTGTTCCACAGCAAGCAGCAGAAAATTTAAAAATCTAGATTATGGAGATATCTGAACAGTGGCTGATGCTGTAGGCATCACTGTAAAGAGAGGAGCAATCAGCCCAGGTAATAAGACATGGATCTTTTGGTAATATGCCCAGGACTGGGAGACCTAGATGGTTGTAGATTTGTTCTTAGTTTTGAGAGAACCTCAAATAAGTTATAGATTTCTATAGTATCTATGTTAGTTTGCACCCTCACAGGTAGTGGATGTGCTCCCCTTTCTCCTCTTCCATACCTAGTCTGTTACTATTTACACGCTTGAGAATAGGCTAATATGCAATGTCATCCAGAAGAGTGCTGAATAGTTCTAGGCTGAATCTGGAGTATTTAGTCCAAGTCTGCCCCCAGTGAATATTGGGTCAATAAAATCAGTCACTTAATTTTTGTTCTGTTTTGAAACAGTCATTTGGTTGTAGCTCCAGTGGAATTTAAGCTTACTGCATTCACTTGTGCTTGAATTGTATTTGTGTGTTCCCATGCCTGGATTCTTTTCTTAATTTTGAAAATGGTACATATTTCTATTTTCACAAGATATTAAATAATGTGCAATGTACCAGGCTATAAAATTTTTCAGCAACAATTTTCACAAATAGAATATAATTTTTAGATTAAGAAATAAACTTTGGATCAATTCAGAAACACAAAGAGAAGCTGGGAAAGAATGTTAAGAAGAGAAAATATAAGGAAAAGGATAGTGTAAGTCTAGAAATTAATAGACTAGACATCTGCATTTAGAATGCACCTAAGGAAAAAGAAGTCCCAGGAGTGGACTGAGAAAGAACAGCTAAGAAACCGCAATGAACTTTACAAGAAGAGCAATATAAAAAACCCACTGTTAACAGCTACACATCTCAATTCTAGAGCTTAATTGTGAATTTTAAGTCTGTCCTTCACTTCCCTGTGTTTCTCTGAAAGAAAACAGAATTGTGCTTTGTATTATTGCTCAGTAAGCAAATACATCAGAAGTGTTTGATTATTATTGTTGCTGATAACTTACCTGAATACCTCAAAATAATTTCATAAACAGAAAGATCTTACAGAATGAAAGCAATCATTGTTACAAACCCAGGCCCTGTGTCTGATTTAAAAGCCAGTGGGACATCTGCTTGGCTGATACCATAATTGGCTACCAGCCTGTTGTTTTGCTAGAAGAGGGACCTTATGTCCTGTGGATATTATTTGCTCTTAGTCCAGGGGGACCTAAGTTTCCATTAGATTACAAGTTCTATACACATCCAAATGTGTGTAAAGCTCTTGCAGCATCTTTAAAAATTTATTCTTGGTGTTTTTAACGTACTGGGTTTCTTGACTTCCCTGTGGTTCTTGGACTGAAAGAATTATCTTTTGGTTCTATCTTTAAAAGTGCCTTTTATCTTGGTATATTGTATTGTGAAGCCTTCCAATGAGAAAAAAACTAAATATTTCAACAATCCTCCTCAGTACTGATCAAGGTATATATACATATTCATGTATATAAGTTTATTATATATTTTATTGTATACTAATGTATTTATAATTATTAATTTGATGACTAAGTATTCTACAGCCAAGACCTGTGCTAAAAATATTTGTTTATAGGCTACAAATATGAGGATATTTCATATTATCTCTAGATTACTTGTAATACTCTAGTACAAACAAAATATAAACTCCTAAATTATTTATAGAGTTAATAAAAAGAAAATGTCTGTATACTTTTAATACAGATTAAAATTTTATTCAAACCATTTTCATGTGGTGTTGGCTTGGTTTGCAGTTGGAAAACTGAAGTCACCAAGGACTGATAACCTCATGTTTCTACATTACTGTTCACTTGTGTTCTTATCTGACTAAATTCAGTTTATTTGCTTGTTCATTTATCTCCTTTTCATCCATAAAATGGTATTTCAGCATTTGATCTGTGTTAGCCACCGTAGCTAGATGTATGTTCATGGTTACCCCAAGAGATTTCTACAATTACATATAAAACTTTTTAATTAACCTCATACTTTCTCTCACGTCATTGCACAAGCAAAACCCTACTGTGTCTTCAGAATTCATTTTTTAAAGAATAAAATCCATTCTTGAGTCTACTTCTTATCAAGTTACCCTCCACTCATGAGTAGCTGCTTTTCAGGCTTTTCCCCATCCATTTCTTCCTCTCTGTATCCAACATCATTGTTCTTATAGGCTTTCTCAATGAAACTCAGATTTCTTTATGTATTTATCAGAGTACTTCAAATACCCAAGTTATTTCAAACTTCTTCTTGTTCCTATGGTAGGAATAATCCCTACAGATCCTGTGTCATATCTTCTTACTCCTTCTTGTTCTCTCCCATTCTAATTTTCCTTCTGCCTTTAATGTTTGTATCTTTCATCCTCTTTCCTCTTCATGGTTCACTGTTTTTACTGGCCCTTATTCTTAAATACTTCCTTAATTGTTAGCTCATTAATACCTATTTGCTTTTATACCTCAGTTCATTTCACTCCTGTGTAAATAAATACAAGATATTTGTTTGTAGATGTGCATTCACTGAATAGTAAAACAGATGCACAAGTCTTAGCATCTAATTTATCACATAAAATAACAGATTCATATGTACAGAATCTTAATATAAAGAAAGGACCATCCATTTCAAAGAGGATAAATGTTTCTTCGGGCTTAACTGTGTTATGCAAATTTTGGTGAGGCGATTGTAGTCGGTGAAGATGATAAAGGAATAGAGGATTAAATAAAATATGAAAGTTATTGACATATTAAGCTTTGGGGAACTTAATAGAAATTTATCTTAATAGAATGGATTTCCTTCAGGCTCCATTCTTAATAGTGAGCAAATAGGAACCAATTTCTTCTAAATCCAATATTTTACAAACATGTTACTATAATCTTTAAATGTACATATAATGTCACTGTGAGCCGTACAGCACATGTATTTTTGTACAATAACTAAATCTGCCTAGCTAATATAGGTCCTTCCTTACATGCTGCCCGTGTGTAATAAAAGTGTTGAAATTCTCTTTTAACATTTTTCAAGGGGGAAATACTTTAAAGCCAATTTTATGGCATACATTGAGAATGAGGGAGGAGAATTTCTGCGAGTTTGAGACAAACCTGGTTCACATCGTGAGTTCCGGGCCAATGTGAGCTACAGTGTGAGAAACTGTTTCCAAATTATAACCCTCCACCACCAAGAAAAGAATTAAGTTTAAAGAGTGATTCGCAACAAAACCTTTGGCTTCATTTGATGTTTAGAAAAGAAAAACAGTGCATGTGGTAGATTTGAGAACGAGCTAGGCAGAGAAATGTAAAGCAGAACACCTGTCATCTATCAGGAAGACGTTCTCTATCAGGAAGGTGTTCCTTAAGAGTGGCAGCTTTGAGTGACACCATCGATTCCATGCTAACAAGGAAATAAAGCTACAGATAATCCCAGGAGGAATTTACTGATATACTTAGTTCTAAATTAGCCATCAAACGTTTTTCTGTGGCTAACACAGACAAGAATTATGGGCTAATGTAAGTTATAAGAGTTAAACAGAAGACTGAGATATTAGGCTAATCTGTTTATAATTAATGTAGACCTCTGTGTGATTTTTTGGGGGACTTACTGACTGCAAAAACCGGACAGGGCAGAAAACTCAGTCAACAATTTTATATGCAAAATCATGTTTTATTAGTAATGTAAGAGTCATTACCACTTGGTTACCCCTCCCATCTTTCACCTATCACAACTCAGGTTGCAATTGGGGTGCTGTTACCAGAACTGCCCTTCCGGGTCCCAGGTCAGAGTCTTACACAAGCTGTCAGGAGTTTGACACATACATGAAAGATGACAGCGAACCCCTACAATTGGGGACTGCAGCCTGTCTTTTTGTGTTTGTTTAGATATAATGCCTTATACATATATACCAGGTGAGTTCCTGGTATCTGAGCACTTCTCCCTGGGGAACATGGCTTTGTTTTCCCTACGTCCTAAACAAAAATAAGTAAGTAAATAAATTAATACAAATAGTCGATCCTTGTTATTGTTCATAGGATGGCTAGTCTGATACAAGTAAAGGGCAGGTGAAATTAATGTTTGGCCTATAACTATGATACAGTCCAAACTGTATAGGTTAGATACTTAGATGAACTCCTTTTTAGCACTGTCAATATTTATATATTTTTAGTTTATTTTCTGTAGAATAGGCTTATAACTATGAGGTTGATTGGAAAGGCTTATTTGGGGTAAGGAAACAAAATGGTACTATTTGTTACTGTAGAGTTTCTCATAAAACATGGAATTCTATGCCCTGTCTTTCCTTTAGTATCTTCCTCGACTTTTCTAGAATAGTTACTAAATGAAAAATACTTAGCATTTGAAAAGAAACAGAGCATTGTACAACCTGACTTTGTTGGTCTTTCCTGCCTCTCTGTTTAACTAGGGGGAAATTTTTAATGAATGGATTTTTTAATAAACTGGTGATGTGTGGGTAAAAACACGCCACTATATTATCAGAGTTTGACTTTAATCACAGGATTCATTCAGATCGAGGGCCATGCTTGATTCATGTACCTACCAACAGTATTCAGTAAAACTCACTTTAAACCGACTGCAGGAAACCACCAAGAGATTTTAAATAACAGTAATTCAAACCTAAACACCACAGTAATGTGTGATACAGTCTGACTCATTAATTAAGTTAAACAAGAATGACCAAACTATAAGTAGAAATAAGGGAAAACATACTAAGAAAGCTTACCACACAGACATTCACATTTTAGGGACTGATAGGTAATATGAAATAACTTTCACTCGTGACTGGAGCAAAACCCTGTCTGTTGATTAAACCATGGCAAACTGCTGTTTTACGCTCGATCAGGAAAAAACAAAACAAACAAACAAAAAACCAAGACTATCTCTGTCAGAGCAAATGAGAATCATGAGAAGCAAACCTACCAGTAATCCCGGGTCATTTTGAATGTCTGTGTTTTATAAGCTCAGCAACTATTTCTTGCGCGACATAGAAAGGTTTCAGCAGGAAGAGGATTAAGGGTTTTATTTACCAAAACTGAGGCACAAAATGAGGGTGATTTTTCACATTAGCTTTCGTCTCATTTGGCTCAGGTGTCAGCGTCCTATATTTATCTCCTCTCCGGCCTGTGTCTGTAGTGCTGGAATGCTCGCAATGTCAGTGGCTGTCAGATGTCAGGATAGCCAGGAGGACAAATGAATGGTTGAGACCCTGTGTCTCCTCCCAGAGTTCTCAGCTGCTGGGCTGTGGGTCTGGTATGTTTACTTTCTGTGCCTCCTTCAACCGTCTCCCTGAAGCAAATCTTAAAATGCTCAGATGGCAAGCAAGCTCTTCTAGAAGCTGGTGAGCAGAATTATTTTTATTTAGGAGTGTAACTGTGTCTTTGTAGTTGATGAGCTGTTATCTATGCAACAATAACATGAACTCTCTGAGAAAGTGTATGCTATCTGAAACAATAATTTAATATGTAATGCTTCTGTTAAGAAGCTTATTTGCCTGCAACTAAGAAGATAAAGACAATTTAATTTTGAACCCTTCAATTTTAGATTAACAAATCTCCCAATGTATTCTATAAGACTTCCCCTTTAGAATTTCATATCTCATTTTTTGGTTATATGAGGAAGCAAAGTTCTTACCAAATTTCAGTTGAAATATTTATTTCTGTATATTTTCAAAATTTGTTTCCCACGCCTAAATCTTATTTCATACCACAGTGAAATATGTTTATGTTTTAGGCTTTCTAGAATATGATCTTTTGATCCTATAACTCTAAAACAATGAATTAGAGTCTTTTGCTTAAAGGTCACAGAAATGGTTTTTAAAACAGAGTGGAAACTGCAGGAGCTTTGTGGAGATGCTCTGAAATGTTTTCTGGCTTCCAATCACCACAGACTTAATGCACAAAAGTCATGGAAAGCTTCACACTCTTAGCTCGGGAAACTAGAAGACTAGGAAAGAAGGGTTTCCACACATGAAGTACGGATCACTGGTGATCGCGTAACATTGTCCAGCGTTCCCCAGATAAGCTCTTCGTGGGTCAGTGGAAGATTTGATTGCGCAGCAGACACTTTTCTAATGGTGTGCTTTATATAAAGAAATGCAAATAATTCTAGAGTAGCAATTTTTCATAACGTAAAACTAGCTGGGTGCTTAATTGGTTAAATATCGGCCACTACTGACATGGTAATTGATTCTGACTTTCCGGTCTATTTTGAAAAAAACAATTGGACTGAATTAGATGCGCGTCTTTACTGGGAAACGTCACTGTCGCTGACTTTTGTCCTGAAGAACGGCTGTATGGGATGAGGCTTACTTCTGTGTAAGGAAGTCCGGCTGATTCTTACAAAGGTGTAGATGTCTTTATCTCTCTCTCTGGGAGATAACTCCCAAATATGAAGGACTCTGGATCAAATGAAGACAAACAGGCCACCTGCTTTCTTCTCAGGTATACCTAAAGAATAAGAGTGGATTTGTGGATCAGCGAGACTTCTTTGAGCCTGAGAGGAGGAAGGAGAAATAGCTCCAAATGATGTACTTCATAAGCACTAATTATGTGAAATTGGATCCATACATAAAGGGCAAGGACCACTTTGCAATGGAAAGGTGTGAGAGTTTAGGAAAGAGATCAAGTGCTTGAGGAGAGGAAAACAATTTCACCTTGGAAAAAGCAAAATGACAAATTCTAGGACTCAGAAGACGGCTGTTAGAGGGGAAAGGTGTCTCAAGGGCTGTAAAATTAGTTCCAAAGGTAAATGTAGGGTCACCCCAGGAGTGACAGAAAAACAAATACTATCAGAGGATCGATGTAACTGTGCTTCCTTGCACTTCTTGAACCAATTCTTCTTCAAGAGGACTACTTAGAAATTTAATCAGACATTCTTAGTATTGGAAAATTTACCTTCATGGTGACTTCTGTCAGCTTAGAAAAGTTATAATCTTTACAATTAACAATTCTTGAAAATTGTGGGCCTTCACGGATCTGCACCAGATCCTTTGTGTCTATATTGCGGCTTCTACACCTTCGAGTTTAGTGTTTTTACGAGGTTCACAAGTATGTGAATGAGTGAAACTGTTTCCCATGCCTTCTCTTTTCACCTTTCTGTTTGTTGTTTTTTTTTTCCAAATTCTGATGTGTTATTTTTTGTTTTATCTTTATACTGTAATGAAATAATTATATTTTAATTATCATTCTTTAGTATCTTGTTTGTTTTCTAATGAGCATGAGAAAGGGATTAGATCTTGATGGGAGGGGAAGTAGGGAAGAATAGGGAGAAGTAGAAGGAGTGGAAACTAAAATCAGGATTCATTACGGGAGGAAAAAAGTCTATTTCCAAAAAAAAGGAAAAATGTTAAGAAAAAAGAATTCCTGTAACTTGAAATAGGAAAAGATGTTTGTGGGTTCCTGTGTTTTCATGTTGAAGACTGTTGGGAGAGAAGCTGTAGTATGCATTAGTTTTTACACCTGGGTCCTAAAGCGTGTTTAGTCCTTGAAACCGTTCCTGCAAGCAGTCTGTGAAAACAGGAAATAGTCACGAACTCTAAGTGCACAGGGAACACAGAAGGAATTATAAGTTCAGGAAACAGTTCTATTATTGCAGTTCTTTTGTGCAGAACAGAGCGTGAGACAGTGAAAGCATGTGTGAAGGACCAGCAGTCTGCTAGAGATTGTTGACACCTTTGGTTGCTTGTTTGAAGACAGAATCTCAAATATGCAAGCATAGCTTTAAACTCACTGGGTAGGTAGGGGAGGGTGACTTGAATTTATTATCCTCTTCTCTATCTCCCAACTGCTGGAATTACAGGTACGGGCTTGTAAGCCCCTTTACATGGTCCTGATGATCAAACCCAGGACTTCTTGCATGAATGCCACATAATCAGTCTACCAAGTGGTCCTCAGCCCCAGTAATCTTTTAAGGAGAAGAACAGGGTAAATTCTATTTTATGTCTTTTACAAAATGGACAATGTGCAAAAAAATATAGCAGTTTTACTTAGCTGCTTTGTAATTCTCTACTAAATAGTTGAAGATGTTTTGTGATGTACCCAGAGACCTTTGACACAGAAGCACTGGTATACAAAAGAAGAAATGGCAGGAAATTGCCAGGATGATGGAAGGGACATATGAGACCACTTGGCTGCATTCACCAAAGACCAGGGCATGATCTACCAGGAAGATACTGCTTTGCCATTCAGTGCTTTTAAGGTTTAAACGTGAACTAAGGACAACTATTATCACTGTTTCTGTCCTTGATATGTCTTTTCTTCAAATGTGTCAATTATAAATTTTATGGTCCTGTCAGATTTTTGTAGCAAGTTCAAAAAGGTATCGGGACACAGTGGACAAGTTGTTCTTTGCACTTCATCAGGAGACTCGGGCAGGAGGATCACTCTTACAGGGCACATCCTGGACTAAACAGTGAAACTGTCTGAAAGAAAGAAATAAAGCTACCATCACCACAAAATCGACTCGTAATTATCTTGTCATGTTTAAGATGTTATTTAAATAAGGTCATTCAATTTGATTGCAATTCACTTAGAGATCAGTTTGTCCTTTGGGGAAAGTTAGTTCCATGCTGTAGGGAATGTAGTCAATGCCAACTCAAGGTGCACTTGCTTCATCTCATCCAGGAAAGTTGAGAAATGATGTAATAAAAGCAGCTTATTTGGTTCAGTAGCTCCATGGCGTAGAACCGCAAGCACTAAATGAACAAAACTGCCTTTCTAAGATGTGAAATGATGAGGAAAACATAAAACAGCAATACTTGTTGGGATAATTGTATTTAGATTCACCCATTCATGAATGAGAACTAGCTAGGTGTCTATTTTAGACAGCAGGGAACACTGTTAGACTATATTGTCCCCTTATAAGGAAGCTGTATCTTTTTAGACGTTTTCAGTTTTGTTCATACAGAATGAAACCTTCTGATGTAATTAATAAATAAAACCAAAGCATTAATAATGAATACTTAGGAAGCATTTGCCGGGATTTCTCCTACGGCTCCCATAAACAGTGGAGCAGTCTGCTGAAGGAAAAAAAAAGTATCAAACAGGCAATAGACATAGTTAAGAAAGTAATAAAAGAAAGGGAGGAGGCAGAATTGCTTGCTTTCTTGCCTGTTCAGATGTAGGCCTTATCCTTACCATGCTAGCCAACCTGCAGAGCAAGATGGCTTTGTGCTTCAGGATTGCATGGCCACACATCCAAGAATGTGTAGCATTGCTCAGAGTTGGATTTCTGGCTGAAATAAAAGGCCCATAAAGGCAAGGTCCTTTGAAGTCTCTCTTGTAAAAAAGAGCAGTGTTTCAGTGGCAAGTGCCCTCTAAATGGATTCCTAATTATTTAAAAATATCATAACTGAAAGTTTTTTTATCTTAAATGTCCACTAAGGACTATGGCCGCAAAGTAATCATTTGAATAATTTAATAATTAGCTTCTTTCACCTCATGTTTCACAGCAACCTGAGAAATATCCATGCATGTGATCTATAAAGCACAGAGCTTTGGGAAATGTTTTTCATGAAATATGGGCTCAGGTGTTGTTAAAGATTATCACCACCTCTGTCAGGACCCTTATCCATCATTTTTTCCTAATTGGGTTGTTTCTTTTGTTGACGTTTATCCATCTGCATTCAGCTTTGCTTCTCAAAATGAAACAGATCATCCACTCAGAAAATGAGTTATAAGAGAGATGAGAAGATTGCTCTCTATATTTTTATTTTGTGATTCTTAACGAAAACCCAGTTACTGGAAATTCTTCAGTGACTGAGTCCATGAAGCTCATTCATTTTGCCCAGGAATGATGTCTGGCTCCTTTTTTTTCCACTTGCAATCAAGACATAGACAGTCTTCTGTGTTCAGTATCCTAGACTCTTTTTACTACACGCACCTTCCTTAGGATAAAATCAATGGAAACACTGAACACTTTATTTCCCATTGTTTGCCCAATGATCTTCTTGAGGAGTTATTAAATTTCCCCCTGCCTCATTGTGTTTTTTCATGCTTTTATTTTAGGAATGACCACAAGTCATACAGTCAATGCTCTTTCAGGCATGACCACATTTTCCTCGATGTAGTGCCTATGCCTGACTAATCAGAGAGCTCCAGCTAGCAC